CAACACGACTCTGCTTCAACCGGGAAAAATCCCACGGCCCATTTTCGTACCCTTCTTCTATGGCCCATTATAATTGGGGCCCAATTCTGAACTTCCCAATAATTATGCCCATTTCATATGTCGCTCAGCATGCTCTTTTTCCTTTTCTTGGGGGAATTAAACTATCAAGTAACTTAAATTACTCTCATTAGTACCATAATTATGGTACCAAATACAAATACAGTCTTGCACTAGCCTATCAAAATTAATTCCCCACCCTAATTGAGACTAATCATGCTCCATCATCTTTAATTTTATTCCAAGATAACTACTTCAATTCTTTCAATCTCATCTTAGGGTACAAGGTCAACAAGAGATGGCCAACCATTTCTTTAATCTTCCTATCAGGACATCTCCAACTTGTATGTATCTCGTCTAGTAGTCGTTCAAGAGCATTCATCTAAACACATGGCACATGGAGAAGACTCGTAACAAAATATCTTTTCTTATAGAAGGAATGTAGGACAAATACATCAGGTCAAAGAAAAGTATATACTACTTATATATGAAAGAGTAAAGTATGGTGAATGAATTAAGCTATTCATACCACAATGTGAAGGTAAGAAACCAAGCTCCTAAAATTTTAATTTTTAACTAATCAAGAGATGACAACATCTCCAAACACAAACGTCCCTATTGTTGACGGTTATGGACAGTAATAATGCCAAATCAGTCCATCATTTTCTTTCCATAAACATAAAGGATTATAGATAATCTGGGCAATGATTTTTGTTGAGCATATTTGTATTTTTCTCCTGTGCAAATTATTATTATTCCTCAAATTTAGCATTTTCCATTTGGTGAAGGAAATTAGAGTAGAGAAAAAAAAAAAAAAGTATGAAGAAATTTAAAAATTGATTTTTAGTATTATCCCAATCCCATTGAAACGTCACACACAAAAAAGGAGTCAGGTGAAACAGAGCAGATGGGGCATCCCCATTCCCACACTTTGTAAAATTTTCCACAACAAATTACAAAGTGACGTTGTAATTGCAAATTTGGAATTTGGTCTCCCATTCAATAATTTGAAAGCAATCACTTAATTTATACAAGAAGCCCTTTGGCCGAATTAGCAAAGCAACCATTTGTTGTGTTTGTTTTCTTTTTTCTATCTTCTTCTTTCTTCTTTCTTCCTCTCCTCTGTTTTGCCCCGACTCCGACTCCGACTCCGATTCGAGCTCGGGACGACGCGGTGGAACAATGGTGTCCCTCCACCAGTTCTGCCATCTCCATAAGCATTCTCCGGAGCTAACACTCACTCCCCAATTAATCACATTACACTTTTTTTTTACCAATCTTAAAAGAAAAAACCCCAAACCCAGTTCTTGCCCTTTTTTTATATATGTGGCAAGTGACAAGTGGGGGCAAAAAAAAACCCAGATTAATTAAATTACAAGACCCGTCTCGGGTAACTCAACCGAGTCAAATCTGGATCTTTGACTCGCCCCTCCACTTTCTGCAAGATTGCTGCCAATTCCGGCGGATTCGAAAAAGGAGAAGAAAAAAACAGCGCACCAAATTACCAGATGGATTTCTCGGCCAACCCATGAAGCAGAGGTCGGGATTCCGGCCATAAATCCAGACCGGTTCTGATTCCGATGTGGCAGTATCTCTGGAAATCGTCCAGATTCCCGAACCGGCCCGAGTTGGTCGACTCGGATCTGGAGATGAACCGGATCACTTCTTCGAAGACCGACTCGTCGCAGGGGATGGCCAAGGGGCCTTGATTGGTGAACCCGTACTCCTCCTCGGCTTGGACCAGAAGTTTCTTGAAAACCGGGTGGTTCAAGTAGGTCGCCCGGACGACGAACCGCCGGCAGCTGGTTCCGACGCAGACGGCTACGTGGCCGGCGGGGACGTCGGAGGGGATGCGGTTGGCGGACATACGGGCCTTGTTGCGCCACCTTCGGAGCATTTGGCGGAGCCGGACAATGTGCCGGATTTTGCTGCATTTTCCGAATCCGGCCGACATTTTTGAAACGGAGAAATGGGGAGAAAAATGGAAGACGTCGTCGGAGTTTCAGGTTGGCGGATGATGAGTTCGGGAGTTGGGGAGTTTTGGCAGTGGGGATGGCGGAGGATTTTATAGACATCTTGTTGACGAAAATACCCCTGCTTTTGCTTTTTATTTACTACGGCCCGGCCCATACGTACTGCGTATTTTGAGACTGATCCATATTCCATAGATATATAATTCACCAAAAATAAAAATATTTCCAAAACTAAAGACTGACCTTCTAATTTCAGTCCCAAATTTAGCCTCATTTTTTTTTCCCATTTGTGCAAAAAAACTGTATTTTAGAGTAAAATAATAATGTTTTATTATTCTTTATCTCTATTCTATATGGCTTCATTTTGTAATGAGAAAATGAATTTTTTAAAATATAATTTTAGTCTTTTATGGTTCATACTAATTTTGTCTCTGTCATTAAATTGGAACAGATGATTGTTTATTATTTAACTCAAATATTATGTTTTAATTATTCTAACCTAAAATACTATTTTGGTTGTTCAATCTTTAGCTTTCCTACCTACTAATTTCATCTTTGGTTCATTTTAATTCCTATACTTTCAAAATGTTCGTTTTTATTCTTTTTAGGCCCTTAATTTTATTTTTAATTTTATATTTTTAATAATAATTTTATCATGACGCTACATTCAATATATTTATTGAAATGTAACAATGACTTTATATTACATGGTTTTCAATTATGTGTAAAATTTTGTCAAAAATTTTTAAGGTAGGTATCAAGATACTCACTTCTTAAGAGTGCATAGAAAAAAAAAACGAATATTTTGAAAGTATAAGAACTAAGATGAATCAAAGTTCAAAATATATGAATCAAAATAAACATTTTGAAAGTACGTGGACAAAAATATTTTTTCAACTAAAAGTGAAAGCACAAAAATAGTACTTTAACCTATTAGTTATTCAAATTTCTATTTTCTTTTTCGTTTAGGTTAATTATTCAATAAAAGTTTGAATTTGTCTTGGAATCAAATACTTGTTTGAATCTCCCACATCAACTCATTGTACTAAAGATATCGATCTACACAAAAAAAAATTCAAACACTATGTTCAATTATGATGTAAACTAAGGTTTAAATATTGATAAGGACAAAAATATCAAAATCTTAAATTTACGTAAATGTCAATGAAATATTAACGTGGTTAGATATTTCTAGAAATTTAGAGATTAATAAAAGTTATTTGACTTAATAAGTAAGTAGGGTACTTGAGTTCAACCCGGAGTGGGAAGATCCAAATCTTTAATATTCAAAAGGTAAATACATGGACGAAATGTATAAGATATATCTGCAATATTTTTCATATGTCATTGAAATATTTCATGTACATTAGAAACATTGTTTGAGCTCTATATTGTTGCCAAACCATTCAATTTATGGAAATATGATGGTATCAACTATTATTTAATTTTTTGATTTAAACCAAAAATTTAACATTAGAATATTATTGTACATTTGTACTTTTGATTGGTGTTATTTATTGCATTTGCATGAACAATTTTGTTGTATTTTATTTTAGAATTAATGTAGGTGTCATGTTGATCAAGAAAAACAGTGGGCTTGTAATATAGACACACCATGTTCTATACATCCTATCCTATAACATGTCTTTCAAATTTTTACAATTCATGTCATACTCCACTGTTCTTTTTCTTAAAATAATTATAAAAAGAAAAAAAAAAAGAGTTTGATCTAAAAGCCTCATTTTCCAAAATAGTTATCAACATACAACATAAATAAAAATAATTGTATCAATTCATGAACGATCGCTCACCAACTTAATAACATCAATTTCAATTTTACTGTAATGAAATGTTGACGCATCCCTCTAATTAACTCAAAATTTCAAGTTGATAAGTTTGGATGCACTAACCAACGAGTGATTATCAATATTAATTAGAGGAACTAGAAAAGGCCTCTTATTCTATTCTAAATTATGTTAGATTACTACTGAACTCGAAAACTTAAATTAATAGATTACGATAAATTTAACTAGCTTGAATTTAGAAGAGTCATGAGTTAATGATTCATAAGTTAGCATAAAAATGAGTTAGAGATATGATTATATATTGAATGAAGAGAAGGGGATGAGATTTGATTATATTAGTATATCCTATAATTTAAAGTGACAGCTTGGGGGATAAAAAAACAACCACAAAAAAGCAAGAAAGCCAATGTAATGTAATGTGACAGTTTGTGAAATGTCCGTGCAATTTGCTTTTGAAGTGCGAGTTCAAGCTTCAAACCCCACCACATGCATCATCTTTATTTAATTTTTCTTTTTCCTTCCGGTTAGAAAATGAAAAACTCACAACCACGAATGATATCTTATCATGAGAATTTATGTTCAAAGTTGACAGTATCATAAACTTGGACTAATTTACGTAACTTCAATATATTTTTACTCGAACCAAATGGGTTATTTTTTATGCTTTGATTCATAGGTGTGGTTGGTTGGGTTTGGGTTTGGGTTGAGTGTATGGAAGATGCTCCTTTTGAAAATTCATTTGTTCCAAATAAATAAATAAAGCGATTGTTATTTTATTGGTCAAAAAGCAATAAAATAATTTAGTATTCTCCTAATTTCTGACAATCCCCATGTGCAGCTATGCCCCATCTCCCTAATCACTGTTTTGGATCTTAGCCTAGCACTCCCCCAACCCAATCAAAAATTTCCCCCCAAATTTTTAATATTCTTTAGTTTTAATTAAATTAGCAACATTTTCTTTAATTAATAACACCAACACCAGCACCAGCACCAGCACTTCCCCATTAAACCCCCATCCATTTCAATCATTTCCACAATTCTCCCTCCCCCATCTTCCATGTATCCATTTCAAAAGTTTTCAATTATACTTGGATGTTCAAATTGATTGGTTACTTATGCTTGAGTGATTCTCACATTCTCGTCTATATCATTCATTATAAAATATCTTTTTTGGTACAACATGTTGAGGAGGCGATTCGAATTTACAGTCTCTTGATTGGATGTTGAGTGATACTCGCTTTGGCATTAATTGTAAAATGTTAAGACATGTTTAGAAGCAAGTTATTGCAAATAATGAGATACAAATGATTTTATAAAAGTTGACAAATACATCCCAAACATTCCCTTAGTCAAAATATTTGCCAATTTTTTTAAAATTTTGAGGATGAATTAGAAACATTACTATATTAAGGTGACAATTTATTATTTAAATTTATACTAACTCGCTTATTATCATATCGTATACATTTATCATTAGTTAATTTTAATATTAACTAACGAATATTATTTTCAACCCTGGTTTATTTTGGTCTTTGTACTCCCAAAAAGTCAATTTTGATTCTCATACTTCCAATTTTTATTCATGTTAATATCCGTACTATTACAAAGTGACCATTTTGGTCCTTTAATTCTCATTTTCATCTCATCGCTTTAAATCAGAAGTTTAGTATGATACTTTAACTCACTAAAGTTATTGAAATGTAGCCATAAATTTATATTAAAGAATTTTTATTATGTATAGAATTTGTAGAAAAGTAGTTCAAAATCTATTATAAATTTTTGTTAAGTCTTTTTATCTTTTCAATATGGAATATTTAGCAGGTATGGTAACTAAACCGAACCAAAATAATAAGTATTTAAACCTCTCTGCCTATATATTTTATATATATTGGGTTTGAAAATAATAGGGATCCGAAGGGCATGGCCCCGCACCCATGTTCACAATCATAAGACATAACCCCCCACTGCCATTGCCACGGTGCATCCCCCAAAAATAAAAAAGATAAAAATTAAATCCCACCTGCTAAGATTTTTTAGGAATCGAAAGAAATAAATAAAAACACATTATTTTATTTTTCTTTTCAAAGTTGTTATGTTGGACTTATATGCAAAAACACCAACACTTTAATTTTAAATATATAACAAATTTTATGATATCTGCCCCTTCGCCTTTCTGATCTTTAACTCTGTTTTTATTCAGACATTGATGCTGCCATCAAGATTTTCGAGAATATTTGCAAGATTTATGGAAGAGTAACATTTCCAATTTCCATTTTCATTATTAAGCTGCGACCACAACCACATCCATTTTTAGGTGCATTCTCTCCCTTTGTTTCTACATTAATATCGACATGTTTGTAATTTATATACATGCTTTCCTTTTATCATATAGTTTGCATTATTGTGAATTTTGTACCCAATTAGGGAATCATCTCTCTAAACATTTTTATTTAATAAAATTTAACGAATAAATAAGTGATTAAATTTTGTCTTTTACTAATACATTAAGTGTTACCTTCATATTTTTAAATTACTCTATTAGTGACATAAAGGTGCTTTCTTTTTGACGTAAGTACTAGCTTTCTCTCTAATCTACTCCACAGAATTTTGCTTTAGCCTATATGAATCGATCCACTATTTGAATAGGTTCAAGTTCACAAAATCCTTCTTAGTTTTTACGTCTCTACTTTCCAACTATCTCATTTGCTAGACGACTCACAAAATTTCACCCATCTATCCAATCTAAAGCTACATTCTTATCCATCTTTAGTTAAAATTCATTTAAATTTAATCTCTAATATCTATATAATTTAATGTAATGCATTTTAAAAGATATGAGACGACTGAGTTGTTCGAGATGATTAAGATAATTTCGACAAATATTACACATAAGGATGTGGCAATGGATCAAAGGAATAGCTCTAACAAATATATATGATATTGGTGTAAGTTCCACCCTCTACAATCTCTACTTTATTTGTTTGAAAATTGTAGATTTGTGCGGCTAAATATGGATGAAAGTGAAGTGGGCCCGGATAATTTAACGGCTCATCCAATCACAGAAAGGCAATTGCGTATTATATTAAAATTGTTTAAGAGCGAGTGAGATGGAATTCAAATTAAATAAAAAATATATATATTTAAAAAAGAACAACGTCCAGGTTCGAAGCTGCCTTAGTTGTTTTAAACCCATTCACGGGCCTCTTGGGACCCACTCTTCTTCCCTTTTTCTTCTAGTTTCTA